TAATGATCTTGTCTCTAAAAAAATCTGCACTTATTCTCCAAGTGTCCCAACACTTTCCCACCACCCTTATATTATCGGCCTTCCTCAACAGGGAACGATCCCAACTCGATACTAGATAAACACATACACACAAACACATGCACACATAAACATGCGAACACATACACACATAAACACATAAACACAGATAAACACACATACACACACACATACACACAATCACATACACACACATACGCACTTAAACACATACATGCATAAACAACACAAACACATGCACACGTACAATTCAACGTTTGAATGTAAGATGTGCACAATGCAGTCAAATCGAAGCTTTAGTGAACGCTTTATTAACCTGTGCACATTTCCCGGGCAAGGGCTGTACAACGTTGCGACTTTTTGGATTACCTGCAACACATAAAACGAATGTTGCACGACATGGTAACGCCGCAAAAGAAAAAGTTAAATGCTCAAGATGGGTAGAGGGACGAACACCTCAATTAGGCACCGCCTCCGCGGACTGCTGGTCCCAACACGATGTATAACAGTAGGACGAAAGGACCAGCAGCCCGCGGAGGCGGTGTCTAATTGAGGTGTTCGTTCCTCTATCCGCCCAAAATAACATACCGCTGCGTTTTTTAATAAGCTGGGCACACGTGCAGGCGAAGCCGGAGCTGGAAAGGTGTGGTCCACCGAGAAAACCTGCGCGAAGGGCGCAGGTTACGGTATGTTATTTTGAGCATTCAACTTCTTCTCGCCGCAAAATGAACTTATTCCAACGACGCTCCAGTCAACGATCTTGACAGTACGACGTGAATGGTCTTGAATAAGGGCCTCGAGTGGGCCCTTCGGAAGGATGGAAAAGAGGCGATGGGACCCCAGTCGTCGGTGTTGGGAATGTGGGTGGTTAGAGGGGGTTATGGGAGGGCGCACCTAGCTAGGCTTATTGGGGGTCCTTTACTTCGGGACTCAGAGATCTCAAAAGTCCGATTTTTCCGAGTCACTGCCTTTGAGGTGGCCCGGACTGAATCGCATATCATAAGATGCGACTTGATGTGCTGATCCAAATCTCTATCTTGCTATTTGATATGAAGTCGAAATATCACCTGTATCACTGTATCCCGTTAATCATCGCTTGACACGAGCGGGATCCTGTGACGCCTCCATTCGTCCCTGTCGCGAGTAATCGTTGACCACTTTCTCATCGCATTAGGTACACGAAAAACGCCCTGAAGGACTTCTTTAAAGGACCTCGTGGACATGTCAGACCATCGAGTCGACAGTCTTCCTGTTCCGCGTTTGACGTCCAGCGATGTCCAATATGTTGCAGCTCTGGTCCACCGATTGTCGTCAAAACGCATCACGTGTCGGCCCCATCTGATTTTATTCTGTTTGACGTATGCGGCAGAATCCCTGATCTTTGATCGTTGACGTAGGGTACGTACGAGCTGTGGTGCGAGCTGAGGTGTGTACTTACTTTTGGGGCACCCTGTATACTATACAGTGTCCCAAAAGAATGTGCACACTGTTTGATCGTTGATAACTCTCTTTCTTCCACCTCTTTTGCCAAGCTTGAAGTGCCATTCTGTAGAGCGAGGTCCAACTTAGATTTAAAGTATGGAGCGAATCACTAATCGCTCTTCATTGCTGTAGCAGGTATGAACTTTCAGCATACAGCGTCACTGTGGAATGGGCTTTTTGACGAAATAATTTCAGAAAATCTGGGTCGGTAGTAAACCTATCGAAACTCAGAGTTATAGCTCAGAGTTAACTCTGAGTTATCTCTGAGCTAACGCGCAACTTTTTGACCCCCTTAACAGGTGTTTGAACAGATCAAATCCGGAAAGCGATGATATGGCAGGATTCTCCTTGACACGTAGTTTATTCCTAGTAGCGCAACATTTCCTAGTAGCGAAATCGTCCTGCACAAGAAACAGCGCCACCAAACGCGCAACTAGTGTCTGCGATAACTCTGAGTTTGGTGCGAGTTCCAGTCTATCGTGGAACTCAGAGATAACTCTGAGTTTGGTCAGAGAAAGAGAAATAGTGCGCAAAAGAAGAGGGGCAGCTAAAAAGTCCTCCGGGGTACATTTTGCTCGTAGTTTAAGCAGGCATGATGGGGGTATCGTGGTGCGCAGTGATTTACAAAATTTTGAAATTCTGTAAAAACTTGGCCCAGGGGGTTATTCGGTGCGCTAATCACGCATATGGTACCCATTTTTCACTATGGGGTCATGTAGAGGTGTTACGGTAGGTGTACGGTAGATGGGAGAAAATCACGAAACTGATCGAAACTTGGTACACTGGGGTTATTCGGGGCGTCGATAACGAATATGACATGCAGATTATACTGTGGTGTCATCTGACGAGGTTACGGTAGGTTTACGGTAGATAGTAGAACATCACGAAACTGATCGAAACTTGGTACACTGGGGTTATTCGGGGCGCCGATAACGAATATGACATGTAGATTATACTGCAGTGTCATCTGACGGGGTTACGGTAGGTTTACGGTAGATGAATTAAAGCGGCGGAATTAGCCGAAATTTGGTACACTGGAGTTATTCGGGATGCAGATTACGGACAATCTATCTGCTACATACACTGGTGACATATGGAACGGTTACGGTAGGTATACGGTAAGTAAGAAGAAATCATGGAAGGGCAAACTTTGTCCGGAGGATTTATTCTGTGTGCAAATCCTAATAGTCATTTCTTATCATTGTGTATGACATCCGCTTTCTCTATTGTTTGAAGCTTTCGGCTGCGCAAAAGACCAATCCTCGTGATGAACCATCACTGCCCGATAGAAATGGAAATGAGTGAGGCTTTGGTATAACTTGTTTTGACCTGCTAAGTGTTAATGGAATGAGTGAGTACATTATGGCAAAGCAATTTTAGGGTCCATGGGTGTGTCATGGTCTAGCGGTTTAGTGATAGAATCTTTATGCTAGACCATACAGGTTCGAGTCCCTACTTTAACGTCGCTTTTGCAGCAAAGTGCTTAACAGCTCCTCAAAGCAAAACTCCGAGCTTGAGAGTTGGAATTCGGAATTACGAAAGCGGAACTCAGAGTTTCAATAAGCGTAACTCAGAGTATCAAAAACGGAACTCAGAGTTATCTCTGAGTTAACGCGGAGCTTCAAACTCGGATTTTCGACCAGATTACTACCGACCCTGAGAATTTGTGTGGCAAGGTTTTTAAGCGTGCTGATTTCACTACATGAGTTTTCGTGAGCTTTTCGAGCTTTCTTGATGGCGTATTCACATCTTTGACAAACACTGGAAAAACAGTTGTTACTCTAAATCTGAAAAAATTTATGAAAGAAGCACTATACTAAGTGCAGATTTCATAGTTGTCAACGACTTCGACTGGTCCAGTACAAGAGTTTTTGGCTTGTTTGGTTTTCTTTCTTAGGCAAAAACCGGCAAAAAACAGCTTTGAATGGTTCAAAATCCTCCTCTTCCTACCGTAGTCTTACAGTAATGGAAAGCAATCGATCATTCGCCCCACACTGCAAATCTAAGTCGAACTTCGTTTTACAGAATGGCGCCTCAAATTCGGTAAAAAACATGAAAGCAGGAGAGTTACTAACGATGAAACATGTGCAAATTTTTTTGGGCACCCTGTATATTAGATTGTCCCGAAAGTTCTGTCGTCTCATTTTGAAAATTTGCAACTTTGCCCTATCTAGACGGATTTGCTTCATTGTAATTGTATTTGTAAGGATAAGTTTTTCGCTTTCGAATGCTGTCTTTTCAAACTTTTACCGCATACTGGCAGCGAAGATAAAAATGAAAAAAGAAGACCATACAAGTTTTGATCATTTTAAGTCAGGTTGGCGAAAATCTGAGACACCGCGGAATCTCAAATCAACAGCACAGAAGTTTTTTGACCCATTCTTTTCAACTGTAAAAATTTTGTGCTGCTTGGACGTGTCTGTGAAAAGTTATGATTTTTCAAGATAGCGGCACATTAATGATCTTGGAGTTTGCTGTGGAAAACATGAAAATTATAACTTCTCACAGAAACGCCCAAACAGCACAAACTTTTACAGTTGCAAAAAGGAGGTAAGTAAAAGTTTGAGAAGACAGCATTCGAAAGCGAAAGACCTATTCTTATAAATATATTTACAATGAAGCAATTTCGTTTAAATAAGGCAAAGCTACAAATTTTTGAGACGAAACGGCAGAACTTTTGGGACAACCTTATATATCAGTGGCGGTACCAGGATTTCGGATCGGTGGGGGGGGGGAGAAAACTCACTGTCGTCCGTCCGCAGCATGTCTGCGACTATTGTCCGCTTCCTGTGGATTATTAACATCTTCATCACAATGGATCAACGGTCGCTTTCTTCTGCCACCGTGCCTCTCTATACATTTTGCATAAGACGAGGTCTAGACTCGATAAGCGCGGAGGTAACTTTTAGCGGCGTAGTTTCACATGTTAAGACTGCAGTCAGCTTTCAGACCTTCGAAGAATACCACCTTGTCGAAACTTCATTTCAATAAAGACTCATCATACTAATCTGGATTTGAACATCTACTGCTCAGTTCATTAAAAAATTCGAGGAGCAATATTTATGCAACATTCCAAAATTTCGATTTCTACCCTACTGCCAGCTTTTTACATATCGTCGTCTTTCTGATATAAACATTGCTCCGCCATCCACTGCTGGTAGGCGACGATATTTACAAAAATCATAGCTGAATGCTTTTGATATTTTACTGCAAAAAAAGAGAAAAAAGCGAGATCGAGCTTGAGATGAGCATAGCAAGGAGAAAGTAACATATCTTTCGTGCCCGAGGGATCCCATAGGTACCGTCGCTCGCGTGCTGAACTGTCTGGCTTTCGTTCCTTTCACTTCAGCAAATGTAAGGCACTTGTTCAAAGTCAGTGTGTTTGAAGGATTGAAAGGCAGCGAATCAATGTGTAATTTATTGTACCTTTGGGACTCTCTGTAGCACACACTACATTAAATCACAAACAGTATCCTCATTCATCTATAGTTCGTCCCAACGCTATACAAACGCCTGATTGACTCGACGTCCACATGTGGCAAGCGCATTCCGGTAGCGAGCGTCCTCAAATTCAGTTTCTTTGTAGTGTACATGATCATTATATGGGAGCACATACCGATAATATTTGCTCATAACAGAAGATTTTTTGCGAGAATGTCGCAATCCAAGAAGGTGACCAATTTCATGAATCATCACCTAAATACGAAGCTGAGTGCCATATGTGAACAGACTATTGGAAATTACGCAAAGTTGACTCTCAAGGAAGGATCACAGTACATTAGATCTGATAGTACTTGGCAGCGAGGACAATATTTTCTCGGAAACAAGTACCTGCTTCCAGATGTCGATGAAGCTGGCGTATGCGCGTAAAAATGGCCGTAGAGTGGACAAAACCATTTTTCAAACGAAATAGTCGAAGCAAAAAACACTCAGGTCGAACAGTCAAATCTACTAGTCTATGATAAGAGTTCAGTCATCAGAGCTTATGAATGTTGTAAAGAATTACCATTTGCAATCAAACTTCATTCCATTCGCTTCCAATATTCTAAATCGATTGTTTCGTTCTTTGGATGGAAAAAAATTTTTGTTAATAATATGAGCAATATTCGATACTCTGGCTATTTCCTCCAATAATTCCTCCCCCCCCCCCCAAAGAATACGTTACGAAATTTTCAAAGATCACTTATATGAATTGTGAAAAATGTGCAAGTGAGTTGCTTACACCCAAGGTTGGTAGCAAGACGCGGCCCGTCCGCCTTCTTCAGGATTTGAAAAAATTTCCTGATTTCAAAAAACAACTTAGCCGCAATCGAGCGTAGGACAGAGACTGCAAGACCGCCAATGGTATCATCTGTCCGTCTGGAAAACCGGGCGACTGTAGGTAATCAGGAGTAGTTTATCTCAAAACCTGTCAAAAATGCGGTGACCACATAGAAGAGACAGGCCTTTGTGCACAAGAATCAAAGAGTATCTTGACGGCCTTCAAAGTCCAAAACGTCCACACCTTCGAGTCACATCAAAGATTAAGTCATGAGAACCAGTATTTTTTACTCACTGTCACGATCTTGTCGCACTAATCCAGGTTGATAGCCCGCAAAACGTTGGAGGCTGAAGGCATTGCCAGGGCGAGTGTTTTCTTATCGAATACTGTGTGGATTTTGATACGGATCTTTTATAACCATATAAAGGGCATTGAACACTGACTATCATACTCACTCATAGCGCAGATGCAGCGCGGCACTGGTTATTCAGTTTCTGTACCCCAATCTAGCAAGGCTGAGGTCAGGATTTCAACTCTGCCGCTCCATCGCATAGCTAGACTAAATCTGTTGCCAAGCAAGGAGTTTGAGCGGGTAGATCTTGAAGTCTCGATGTTTCAGGAAGCCCTGAAGTGCGGACGGACCGCCGAAACATTGGCTTTGTATAGTAAATTCTTGCTACCGACCTTGGTTGACAGCTCAAAAACTGTACTACATCGAATACAATGCCAAGGTTCATCGACGATCGAGCACGACTTGCTTACACTTTTGGATTAATGGAATTTACTAGAATAAAATATATTCACTAAGAATTCATGACAAACCACCCCGAATGATGTTGTGCTGATGCGGTTTCAGTATAAATCAGAACTTACGTAACGCAAATCGACACCGTGTGAACCATCGAATGACCAATCTTCATCAGCGTCCAGGTGAAGAATTCCGTGAGGAGGGTACCCGGAGTGCGCAACCATGTTTCCTTTTCCATCAAAGGCCTAACAAACTGGTATAAAAACCCAAGAAACTAAATAATAACCCTCTTCCTAACCTCTTCGTCTCCATGAAATTTTCTGGCAAACAGAATATCTATGTCCAAACCAGGAGGTTTTGTAATTCCTTTGCTACTGCTGACGAGGTGGGAAACATCCTCGAAATCAAAATGTCCGTTCAACGCATCTCCCCATAAAGCAAAAGCTGTTGAGATAAGTGCTCTACAAAAGCTTGGTCAGTTGAAAACTATGGTTTTATAAATCTAGACCTCATCATTCGTTTGCTTTTTTCGTCGAGAAAAAGCCCGAAGGGATCTCTGAAGGCCCATGTAATCAATCGCTGCCGCCAGATCTTGCGTCTAAGCGTCTTTGATGCTCTGAAATTCGAATTGACTATAATGTCTATTGTTAAAATGAAACAAATTCTTGATGAGAGATATAAACTGCTAGTCGCTGTACCCGGCTTTGTGCGGCTGTTCTAGGTTGATTCCAAAATTCTATCAATCATGGAATCTACATACATGACATTTGAAGTGGTATACCCAAAAGTCCTAATCCAAAAATTAACAGCGTTTGTTCATTGTCTAACTTCTGCACTTGGAAGCCCTTCGGAGGTTTCGCTTCGACAGTCAATTAAATGGGCAAATTTCTCTAACAGTGATTCAAATATAGCTCCACTCTTATGGATTTGGGTGCAATTTCACGTGTGCGAGATGATCATCAAGAACTTACATGGAGACTTGTTAGCCAATTAGCTCTACCGTGTTCTTCTTGTTAAAACTAAGAATGAGCTTCCCTGCTATTCCTTACATCAAATTGTGCGAGGAGTTTGATAGTGGTTGATAAGACTTCATTTTCATTGCAAAGTGCCAAAAATCAATATTAATGAAAGTTTTTAGCAAATCGCTTCATAAAGAGTCTAAAACCATCTAAGCGTCGAAAACATTGTCAAGATTTCAGCTCAATTGGTCCACGAGCAAAGGAGTTTATAAAAAACATACGATCAAGATTTGCACAAATTTTGACTTACATATCGATATATCATTAGATAGATTAAACCTAGCTTTACAGGATAGTGCTTGAAGTTTTGAAGCAGCTTTGATCCAAGCGAAGATTGAAGCCAAAAACCAAAAAGATCCAAGCGCCCCAAAAAACCAAGACGTTCAGAAAATCCTTCAAAATTCCTAACTTGCTCATGCATTGTCATTTCGTATAAGACATTTCTCTATGCAGTTGCTGCATTTTTCTCTCAGCTAGAAACCTGAAAAAACGAAGTTTTTTATGCTTTTTCTAAGTTAGTGCCGAGATGTTCTAGCACTAACAGTTGCATAGTACATGTTGTTAGCAGTAAATTTTACATTTTCAGCCTTCTAAAACAGCTAATTCACGAGAATTATCGAATCTAGCTCTCTTTATCCAAATTTTCTTGCCTTTTTGCTTAAAATTCGATATTTCTCGTAAACCAGCCGCTGTAAAAAGCTGAAAATTCACACTCATGCTTTTTAGGTCCTATCGTATACAGTAATTGTCAGTGCTAGAACATCTCATTAATGTTTTAGAAAAAACATGAAAAACTTCGTTTTTTGAATTTCTAGCTGAGAAAAAATACAGCAACTGAGAAAAATGTCTTATACGAAATGACCATGCATGGGCAAGTTAGAAATTTTGAAGGATTTTATGGGCGAAATACCAATATTTTCTTGGTTTTTTGGGGCGCTTGGGCCTTTTTGGTTTTTGGCTTCAGTCTTCGCTTGGATCAAAGCTACTGCAAAACTCTAAGCACTATTTTGTAAGCTAGGTTTGCTCTATCTATTAGTATATCAAGACCTATTTGGGATATAGGATTATTCCGGATTATTGCGGTCTGCACCTATTTTGGTGCAGGAATTATGCATCAACCTAATAAATAATTTGGATAATTTTTAAAATTTTTCGAAAATTCAAATTAGCCTTGTAAAAAATTGACGCCACGCCCCCTTTTTTCAAAGTTTTAGGGGTTGTGGGCTCTCAAGAATTTTGGGAAGCACGCCAAACATTTCCGGAGCGCACGGCTAACGCCACGCTTCTTCATTTGAAAGATTTTCTGCCCCCCCCCCAATCCGAAATCCTGGGACCGCCACTGATATATAAGGTTGTCCCAAAAGTTCTGCCGTTTCATTGTCTCAAAAATTTGTAGCTTTGCCTTATTTAAACGAAATTGCATCATTGTAAATATATTTATAAGAATAGGTCTTTCGCTTTCGAATGCTGTCTTCTCAAACTTTTACTGCGTACTGACAGCGGAGATAAACATGGAAAAAGAAGACCATATAGGTTTTGATCATTTCAAGTTAGGTCGCCAAAAACCTGAGACACCGCGTAGAAATCTCAAATCAACAGTATATAAGTTTTTTGACCTCCTTTTTGCAACTGTAAAAGTTTGTGCTGTTTGGGCGTTTCTGTGAGAAGTTATAATTTTCATGTTTTCCACAGCAAACTCCAAGATCATTAATGTGCCGCTATCTTGAAAAATCATAACTTTTCACAGACACGTCCAAGCAGCACAAAATTTTTACAGTTGAAAAGAATGGGTCAAAAAACTTCTGTGCTGTTGATTTGAGATTCCGCGGTGTCTCAGATTTTCGCCAACCTGACTTAAAATGATCAAAACTTGTATGGTCTTCTTTTTTCATTTTTATCTTCGCTGCCAGTATGCGGTAAAAGTTTGAAAAGACAGCATTCGAAAGCGAAAAACTTATCCTTACAAATACAATTACAATGAAGCAAATCCGTCTAGATAGGGCAAAGTTGCAAATTTTCAAAATGAGACGACAGAACTTTCGGGACAATCTAATATACAGGGTGCCCAAAAAAATTTGCACATGTTTCATCGTTAGTAACTCTCCTGCTTTCATGTTTTTTACCGAATTTGAGGCGCCATTCTGTAAAACGAAGTTCGACTTAGATTTGCAGTGTGGGGCGAATGATCGATTGCTTTCCATTACTGTAAGACTACGGTAGGAAGAGGAGGATTTTGAACCATTCAAAGCTGTTTTTTGCCGGTTTTTGCCTAAGAAAGAAAACCAAACAAGCCAAAAACTCTTGTACTGGACCAGTCGAAGTCGTTGACAACTATGAAATCTGCACTTAGGTATAGTGCTTCTTTCATAAATTTTTTCAGATTTAGAGTAACAACTGTTTTTCCAGTGTTCGTCAAAGATGTGAATACGCCATCAAGAAAGCTCGAAAAGCTCACGAAAACTCATGTAGTGAAATCAGCACGCTTAAAAACCTTGCCACACAAATTCTCAGATTTTTTGAAATTATTTCGTCAAAAAGCCCATTCCACAGTGACGCTGTATGCTGAAAGTTCATACCTGCTACAGCAATGAAGAGCGATTAGTGATTCGCTCCATACTTTAAATCTAAGTTGGACCTCGCTCTACAGAATGGCACTTCAAGCTTGGCAAAAGAGGTGGAAGAAAGAGAGTTATCAACGATCAAACAGTGTGCACATTCTTTTGGGACACTGTATAGTATACAGGGTGCCCCAAAAGTAAGTACACACTTTTTAATCGTCAATATCTCTCTTCCCAATGGGTCTTTTTTTGCCAGTCAAGTACCATTCTGTAGAGGAGTCTTCAACTTAGATTTACAGTATCGATCTAATCACCGATCTCTTTTCGTTACTGTGGGACTACTATAAGAACTTCCAGCTTATGGAAAGGTTGTGAAATATGCAATCTGACAAAATTTTTTTTCAAAAAATCTGAAAAATCGTGTACTAAGGTTTTCGCGCACGCTGATTTAAAAACACAACTTTTTACGGGTGTTTCCTGCTTTTTTGAAGTTGTAATCACATTTCCGACAAATATTATGAATTCGGTTATTATTGTTTACCTGGAATAACTTTAGAAAGAAGCATCAAAGTAAAGTGGAAATTTCATATTCAAAATCAGCGGCTTCCATTACCATAGTATAAGAGCTTTCGGCGTGTTTGGTTTTGTTTTGAGGCAGAATATGACCTCCAAAGGCCTAAATCCTTGACGAAGTCCTACAGTAATCCTACAGGAATGAAGAGCGAACGACGGTAATTTGTTCGATACTGTAAATCTAAGTTGAAACCTCCTCTACAAAATAGTACCTGAATGGCGGAAAAACACAATGGGAAGAGAGATATCAACGATTGAAAAGTGTGTACTTACTTTTGCATTCTCTATACAGGGTGTCCCAAAAAGATGGGCCTACTGTTTGATTGTGAATAACTCTCTTGTAATGAATTGTTGTTTCGAGGAGCTTTAGGTACTATTTTGTAGAGCAAGGCTAGATTTACAGTATGGAGCAAATTATCTATCGTCCTTCGTTACTGTGGGATTACTTTACGAACTTCGACAAGGATTTTAGGCCATTGGAGGCTATATTCTGCCTCGGAACAAAACCAAACAAGCCAAAAACTCCTACACTGGTAATGGGAGCCACTGATTTCGAATTTGAGATTCCCACCTTACTGTGGTGCTCTTTCCTAAGTTGCCGGTAAATCGTAATAACTCAATTCCCAGTATTTGTCAGAAATGTAATTACACCGTCAAAAAAAGCTGAAAACACTCAAAAAAGGTGTTAGGGTGATATCAACATGCGCGAAAACCCTAGAACACGATTTTTCAGATTTCCTGAAAAACTTTGTTAGGTGGTATAATTAACAATAGTCCCATATGCTGGAAGTTCCTACCGTAATCCTACAGTAATGAAGAGAGATCGACGATTTGCTCCATACTGTAGATCTAAGTTGAGCCTCGCTCTATAGAATGGTGCCTCAAGCTCGGCAAAAGACATGAAAACAAGGGAGTTATTAACAATCAATCACATTTTTTAGACACCCTTATATACAGGGTGTCCCAAAAAATGTACCTACTGTTTGATTGTAAATAACCCTCTTGCGATGAAGTGATGCGAGAAGCTTTGGACACCATTTTGTAGAGCGAGATTTAGACTTAGATACAGTATGGAGCGAATCATCTATTGCTTTTCATTACTGTAGAATTACGGTACGAACTTCCAGCATATGGAACCATTGTGAAATAAACCACCTAACAAAATTTTCTTCGAAAAATCTGAAAAATCGTGTACTAAGGTCTTCGCGCATGCTGATTTCACTTAACAACTTTTTACGAGTGTTTTCAGTTTTTTGACGGTGTAATATTACATTTCTGACAAATGCTGGGAACTGAGTTATCACGATTTACCGGGGACAGCTTAGGACAGAAGCATCACAGTAAAATAGGAATTTCAAATTCGAAA